GAGAGAAAAGAGGGAAATGGACAGAAAGTGGAAGCAGGGCTATGTAGCCTGGGAGGCATACAGGGCTGTTGTCCTTGTGTGTAGAAATAGGATTAGGAAAGCCAAGGCACAGATGGAGCTGAACTTGGCAAGGGATGTGAAAGATAACAAGAAAGGGTTGTACAGGTACATAGGCAGGAGGAGACAGACCAAGGACAGTGTTCCCCCTGTGAAGAAAGGTAATGGGTTCCTCAGACATAGAAAAAGCTGAGTGCTTTGCCTCAGTCTTCACGAGTGGTCAGGCTTCCCTTGTCTGCCAAGACCCTGAGTCTCTAGGTGAGGGGAGTGGATTCTGTCCCACTGTAACAGTGGAACAAGTCCAAGACCTCGTGAAATTGAATGGCTATATGTCCAGGGGGCCAGATGACATCCATCCTAGGGTTCTGAAAGAGATGGCTGATGCGGTTGCTGAGCTGCTCTCCATCATATTTGAAAAATCATGGCTGTCTGGTGAAGTCCCTGTGACAGAAAAAGGGAAACGTTATCCCATTTTTAAGAAAGGGAGAAAGGAAGATCCAGGGAACTACAGGCCAGTGAGCCTCACATCTGTGTCTGGGAAGATCATGGAGCAGATCCTCCTAGAAACTATGTTAAGGCACATATGACACAAAGAAGTGATCCAAAACAGCCAGCATGGCTTCACCAAGGGCAGATCTTGCCTGACTAATCTGGTGGCCTTCTATGATGGAGTGATGGTTTTGGTGGATGGGGGAAGGGCAATGGATGTCATCTACCTGGACTTCTGCAAGGCCTTTGACATGGTCCCTCATCACATCCTTCTCTCTAAATTGGAGAGGTATGGATTTGAAGGATGGACTGTTCGATGGATTAGAAATTTGCTGGCTGGACACAGCCAAAGGATTGTGATCAGTGGTTCTGTGTCAGGGTAAAGGCTGGTCACAAACGATGTCCCTCGGGGATCGGCCTTGGGACCGGTGCTCTTCAGCATCAGTGACAGATGATGGAATCGAGTGCACCCTCAGCAATTTTGAAGATGACACCAAGCTGAGTGGTGCAGTCGATACATTGGAGGGAAGGGAAGCATCCAGAAGGACCTGGACAGACTGGAGAAGTGGGCCCATGAGAACCTAGTGAGATTCAACTAGGCCAAGTGCAGGGTGCTGCACTTCAGTCAGGGCAATCCCAGGTATTTATACAAACTGGAGGAAGATCTCCTTGAAAGCAGCCCTGCGGAGAAGGACTTGGGGATCCTGGTGGACAAGAAGCTGGACATGAGCCAGCAGTGAGCGCCTGCAGTCCAGAAGGCCAGCTGTGTTCTGGGCTGCATTAAAAAAGGGGCAGCCAGCAGGGAGAGGGAGGTGATCGTCCCCCTCTACTCAGCTCTTGTGAGGCCCCATCTGCAGCGCTGCATCCAGGCCTGGGGCCCCCAGCACAGGAAGGACGTGGAGCTCTGGGAGCGGGTCCAGAGGAGGCACTGAGATGAGCAGAGGGCTGGAGCAGCTCTGCTGTGAGGAAAGGTTGAGGGAACTGGGCTTGTTTAGCTTGGAGAAGAGAAGGCTGTGGGGAGACCTCATTGTGGCCTTCCAGTACTTGAAGGGAGCATAGAAACAGGAGGGGGAATGGCTGTTTGCAAGGGTGAATAGTGATAGAACAAGGGGAATGGTTTTAAACTGAGACAGGGGAGGTTTAGGTTGGATATTAGGAGGAAATTTTTCACACAGGGTGGTGAGGCACTGGAACAGGTTGCCCCAGGAAGCTGTGGATGCCCCATCCCTGGAAGCATTCAAGGCCAGGCTGGATGTGGCTCTGAGCAGCCTGGGCTGGTGGTTGGTGACCTGCACATGGCAGGAGGTTGAAACTAGATGATCATTATAGCCCTTTTCAACCCAGGCCATTCTATGATTGTATGGTTGTATGGTTCTATGATTCTATGACACTAGAGACAGTAAATGAAAGCTTCATCAGGATCAGTCAAACACTGAAATAAGCTGCAGGGAAGTCTGGCAAGTTGTCTAAGCTAATCAGAACTCCCAAAAAAAAGAAAAGAAAAACAAGATAACAGAATAGATTTAGAAAACTATGTGAATATGAATAATGAGGGTTGTGTTGGTGGTTTGCATCCCTGAGATAACATGCAACTCAGGAACTTTGTGAGGGGAGGAAAATAATATTTCTGCATGAAAGTATCTAGACTGTAAAGGCTGATAGAATTCCAGAGGAAAATAATATTGCAGGAGTCGCTCATGCAAAGTTGTGTGGGATGATGATATGAACAACATCATAAGTGACCTCATCTAGCATCAGAAAAGCTGCCTCTGGCATAGGAATGAAGGAACTGTTTCCAAGCACAGTCCTCATTTGTTTTTGATAAATCTTAATTAGATAGAGAAAGCAGAGGAACTTACTTAATGGTATGCTCAAATGAGAATAGCTACATTCACATCTACATGACCAGAAAATATTTACTATTTCTAATATTTAATATATAAAGTAGGCTTAAGTTTGCTGCATCTCACTAGAGACATTGCCACTGAAGAAATCAATTCTTGAGTCTAAAGAGCAAATATCACTTCTGTCACTATGTCCATGCAGCAAGAAATTTCACCTCTTTTTGATTGTTCGGGTGCCAAGGAGGTTCTGAACTTTACATTTGTAAACTCTGTATTTAAATTCAGTGGGGTCTTTAATTTTTTTTGACAGATTTTTGTCTTTGCAAGGATGACCCAGAGTATTCATGGAAACCGGCCACCTGATATCAAGAATTTCTAGAAGGTGCTGCAAACTCAACTCAACTAAACTAAACTAAACTAAACTAAAAATAGTAGTAAAAAACAAACAAACAAACAAACCAACTACAGTCAATAAAATTTAAAAAAAATTAAACTTAAGGAATTTACGGTGTGTAAAATTAAAAGGGAAAAAAAAAAAAAAAAGCAACCCCACCCAAATGTGATTAAAGTTTTCTGAAAGGCTTGTTCAATATATTTTTGCCTTGAAGGTGGAATCCTTCACTTAAATACAAAATAAGTTGAAATAAATTTCATTAATTGGATGTACTTGAAAAAGTCACCAGGAAGTAAACTGTTTCACATTCCTTAAAGGAAAGCAATGGTGTTCCTAAGTTTCCTCAGCCCTCACAAAGAAAAAATGTACTAATAAAGAGGGTCATAAGATGTACTGACATGTCAGAACAGATTGCAATCAGAAATAAGTTTCAACCACACATTACTTTTGTGTATAGGGTACTAAATTATATTTAACATGTTGGTAGTTGAGAACTGATAAAACATAAGGTCCCTTTCCAGGGAAGAACACTTTTAAATCAGTGAGAGTAAAGTATGCTCAGCGATGTATGAATAATACCTGGTTTGCTTCTCCATATTACTACAGGAATCTTTTCCAATTTACTTGATCATCTGCCTGGAACAAACATTATGCACTGGGATGGAGAGTAATGTCTGAATTTCCAGTAGCTCAGGGGCATGCAGAATTTGGTCTTATCCTTAACAACTACAAAATTGTCATAGTGGAAATATTCTACTTAATGGTGACATTTGGTCTGATGTATACAATAGCAAACAAGGAACTAATAAATAAGTAGCCTCAATATAAGTAGCTCTCTGCACTTCTGCGTCCTTGACATTTTGTCTATTATGAATCAACTTGCAAGATGAACTCAGAGCAAAAGAAATCCCTGCCTATATTTTCTCACCCTGAACATCCATAAGTATACAGGTATCTCCTTGCATTCTGCATTTGTTATTACTTGAAATTATCTGTTTCTCAGGGAATACATAGCTTTTAATCAGTATCAGTATCATTTTTTTCCATCAGTAACAAGCCAAATAGGCTATATTCAGCAGTAAATAAAAACAAACAAACAAACAAACAAACAAAAAAACCCCAATCTTTTAGTAGTAATAGAAACAGCAATTTTTTCCTGGCAAGATGACTGCTGATGCAAGGACAGAACTGGGAGATAAGAAATCTCATCACCTCTGTGCCACTACTTCCCTTGTAATCTTCACCAGATCCATTAATCTCCCTGGATTCCCAGTTTCCTTTTCTGCACAAAGCTTTCCTGCCTCTGGGGGACATTGAGAAGACAAATTCATTAATCTCTGTAAAACGTTGAGAGGTCTGCTCACCACCAGTTTCAGGCAAGTATCATTATGACACTAGATAGGTTAGAATGGAAAGAGCAAAAATTATTTTGTTTGGATCCCACATAAGGGATTTGAATTAGCATGACTGACAGAAGTGTGTTGGACTGAAGGACAAACATTTCTGGCAGTACTGGGAAACCTGCAGGAAGAAAATACTTTCTGAACAAATCCAGAAAGGATTAAGAGAGTACGATGGAAAAATCTCTACACTTTTGAACTTAAGGTGCAGTGACAACGCAAAAACCTAGCTGGATATAAAGCTGCAAGAAATACAGTGCATCAACAAGCAAGGCATTTTTTCTGAGTCAGAAGTGTCATTTTTATGACACCTTTGAATAACAGTTATGTATTATCTGAGTTCTGTCTAGAGCACACAGAAAGAAAAATCTTTAAAGAAATGCAAGCTTTTGGTGGTAAGAGAGTGCCTCCTGGCTAACATGAACATTCCTTCTATTTCAAAAGGAAACAGTTTAAATAATTCTAATAAAACCTTCAAATTGTTAGCAGGTATGGGAACAGCTTTAACTTCAGGAAGATAATCAGAGTTTTTATCTTGCATGCGTTCAAATAGAGCATGCTGGTCTGAGCCTTGCAAATAAAAGATGAGGCTTAGCTACCAAGAACCACATCCAACATCAGCTTAACAAAGGTCAGCCACAGTTCTATCATAAAAGAGCTAGAACTTGCAAGTGGGTGAATGAAGAATCCAGATTAAACTAATAAAAAAAAGCATGGGCAGGCTGCCTGTCAGGTCAAGAACAGCAGGGGCAAGAAGGAAGAATTAAAAGTACTTCATTTTGTCTACAATTTTTTTTAGGGCAATTGACTTCATACCTTTGTGGTGTTGCCAGCAAAAAGGACCATTCCTTCTTTCCTTCCATGCTTGCTTGCTTCCACAATGCACCTGTTTGTGCAAAAGCAGAGGGAAGCTTTCACACATCCATTTTCTTATAGAAGTGTAAAAGATCAAGAGCCCAAATACACAAAATCAAGAAATTTCAGATGGCATTGTAAGAAATGGAAAAGATTGTATTTAACTGCTGTTTATGCCAGGGTGATGAACTTACTACACAGCAAGCTCACAAGATAGCTCTGCTAGACACGTGTACCCTTCAGCTCTGCTAGACACGTGTACCCTTCAGTAAGACATTTTATTCACTATTGCCCTTCACTGTGTGAGGGGAATCATTTTTTAGTGCCATAAAGATAATGTAAACTACCCAAATTATATGCTAATACTCAATACTCTCTGACAGTGTGCTCATTACCATAATTTTTAAGCAAATTTTATTAAGGATGTGTTTAAATAATACAACTTAGAGGGTGAAATTAACAAGCAAATAAGGTAGGAAAGTGAAGCTAAAATCACAGCACACACTGCATAGGCTATACACAAAAAGAGCAGTCCATAAAGATAATGTCTCACAAAACAGAAAAACTTACTGGCATGCTAGCTGATGAGTTCAAGGTAGAGAAACATGAAGGGCAAAATTCTCTGGGGACAAGTAGTTCCCTGTGGCCAGTCAACAGTGAAAGGGGTTGCCATCATTAGCAAGGACAAATACCATGGAAGGGAGGAGAGGGAACAGCAATAATAAACTTGGTATGTGTTTCTTCCTGGATTTTCTCCATGCAGCTGAACCAGGACCAAGCTACATATATATCAGCTGCTCTTCAGCTTGGCTCTGATGTGACCTTTAAAGCTGGTTGGTGCTTCTGCTTGCACTACTTGGGTGGATACACGGGGGCAGAAAGAGCTTTTGCCATAGAAGCAACTTGGTAATCTGCTTCCCCTTCTTCCTCTTTTTTCCTCCAAGCTTTTATGTCAGTGGCCTGCGAATGAGAGGCTGATGCCAAGGGAGCCAGAGCAGCAGAAGAGTAAACCAAGTTTAGCTCATAGGTGCACCGTTTGTCTCCTAGAGTAGGCTTTAGAACCAATTCCAGTACATCTCCAAAGCTAAGTTTCTTTTATCCAGTGCTTTGAACTGCAATTCTTACCATTAACCGTAGTTAAGAATAAACAATTTATATTCTATATTAAAATTAATTTAAATTGGCATGTTTTATTTTATTTTATTTTATTTTATTTTATTTTATTTTATTTTATT